TTGGTGTTTGACCTTGCCTCTTTTTTTATTGATAGGCAAGAAATAGATTTATTAATATAAGATGCTTGTAAGAGATACACACGAGCAGGCAAGATAGCTCTGCTGTGATGTTTTGTTTTTTTCTTTTAAATGTGAGGGTTTTTTTTTCCCCTGAATATTAAAAGGAAGCTCAGGGGACTTCCCTGGTGATCCAGTGACTAAGACTCTGCTCCCAACACAGGAGACCCAGTTTCAATCCCTGGTTGGATCCCACATGTTGCAACTAAAGACCCTGCATGTGGCAGCTAAAACCCGACAAGAGCCAAATAAATAAATACTTTTTAAAAAAGGGGGGGGGGGGGGCTTGGTTCAGATAGCTTTTCTAGTTTCACTGAGGTCTCTCTTCGGTTTTTTTTGTGTGTGAAGTGTTCAGAAACACAGCAACTTGCTTCCTGGGATTTGCAGTCTCTTCTTCCTTGCTTTTGCTGGACTCTCTGTTTTCTCGGTTAGCTTGCTTTCTGGGATTTGCAGTCTCTTCTTCCTTGCTTTTGCTGGACTCTCTGTTTTCTCGGTCTTGTTCAGTTTTGTGGGGCCTTGTCCTAGGAGAGATCCCTGGCCATTGAGTTTAGAGAGTCTTGGGGGCCCCACTAAAGGGTTTCGCCCCCTAGGCCTTCTTGGTGCAGTCCTCCATACTCACTCGAATGGCAGTGAGCTGCAGTCCTTTACTTAGCCCTGCCACATTGTCCAGTGATACCTGTGGTTTTTAGGAAGACTTTCAGTTCTCAGACCTGTCAGAGACCCCATTGATTCCCATAGCTTTTTCCTGTTTCAAAGTCTTGGGGTCCTTGGTGGTTTTTCCCTCTGCTTGTATTTGGGGATTCTTGGAATATCTTCCCACATAATTTTGCTGTAAATTTTATCCATGGCTTTTTGCCCTTCCCTGTCTAGTGCTTTCTGTTTTTATATGGAGATTTAGGAAGATCCAAAAACGACACTGCTGCATTTTAGGAAGATCCAAAAATGACATTCTGGGAATCCATTGAGCACCTTTATCCTCCTACACATCTTTCACTGGTTTGAATGGGAAGCCAGCCTTGTCCTGAAGAAAAGGGCAGGGCTTAGGCCTCAGGCTACAATCAAATTGCTCTAGTTTATGTTCTGCCTGGATGTGAAAAATGCAGAGGGAGCTTTTTGGGCACTGGTATCATGAGATAGCTTCTGTCAGTATTTTTGCTGTTCTTTCTCTAGGTAGGATCCATGCCAAAAGAGCTTCTGGGGGAAAGCTCATCTTCTATGACCTGCGAGGAGAGGGGGTCAAGTTGCAAGTCATGGCCAATTCCAGGTATATAGAAATGTTCACTTACAGGCCTTTCTAGATTGGCCCAGAGCAACACGACAAGAGAACAAAGGTCCATGTGGTCTTCTTTACTTGTTGGAAATAAAAGTTAAAGGGAATGGTGTAGGGTTGGGAAAATAAAATGGCCCTCTGGTCACCTAGAGATTGACACCTGTTCTTGGGTTGTGTGACAAACAGTTGACCTTGAATCTAGGAGTCTTCTTAGCTTCACAGTAACAGTTTAGCAAGGGTTCTGAAGTAAACCCGAGGTCAGTTTTAATTTGGGATATTGTGTACTGAGTTAAATTTTCCATTCATTCAGGAATTACAAATCTGAGGAAGAATTTATTCGTATTAACAACAAACTGCGCCGGGGAGACATAATTGGAGTCCAGGGCAATCCTGGGAAAACCAAGAAGGGCGAGCTAAGCATCATCCCCTATGAAATCACACTGCTGTCTCCTTGCCTGCACATGTTGCCTCACCTTCACTTCGGCCTCAAAGACAAGGTGAATTCTTGTGGCCTCCTGGCTCTGTTTACCGTACCGTTGAATGGAGCACATCAGTGTTTCCTCTCTGTTCCTCCTCATTAGGAAACACGGTATCGACAGAGATATTTGGACTTGATCCTGAATGACTTTGTGAGGCAGAAATTCATCATCCGCTCCAAGATCATCACGTATATAAGAAGTTTCTTGGATGAATTGGGATTCCTAGAGGTGATGGAGAGTTCTTACCTGACATGAGCTGCCTTGCGGTGCCTGCCTCTTGCTCTTCCTTCCCTTCCCTTCCCCACAGGCACATCCTGTGTCAGTACGCTTCATGCTTAATGAAAAGTCCTCTTTCTTGCCACTGTCTTGGTTCCACCTTACTTATTTTGTGCCCTGATTTGGAAGGTAGGACAGGACTGCTAAGATAATAATAAGTAGAGGACCAGTCACGTGCCAGTGATGCCATGTTCAATATGTTGCCAACTCGTTTTGCTTTTTTGTAGAATTAAAACTATTTTTCTTAATTTTTATTTAACTTCTTTAAACTGAAAGATGTTGTTTAGGAAGAATTTTAGAACAAAAAAATTTCAATATTTTCTAATTGTATGAGAAACATGAGTACATGTTACCATAAAACAAATTCAGACAATAAAGAAGTAAGTAGAAGCCAAACTGAAAGTCCCCTTTAATTTCTTCCAACTAATTTCCCTCTCCAAACGTGCATTTGAATATGTATCCTTCCTTGCCATTTACTGTGTATACTTATATGCATACCGATGCATGTTACAGATGGGTTACCTGTGTAAATGTTTTAGAAGGGTTTTACTCTTTGTTTTAAACGAAGTCATACTGTATATATTACAATGGACCTCTCCACCCCCAACATATTCTAGGACCCTTTGCATGTCCATATGTGTGTGTAGGTTCCTTTTTGATACTTTGTATTATTTCCTCTGTTGATAGCTTAACGTTTCTGATTGTCTCTGATAATATATTAGTGAACATCTTTATGCACATGTACACGTGTTTCTGTATGGTGGATTTATGTCAAAGGATATCAGCTGTTACACTTTTAATAAATACTGCAAATTGAACTCAAGAAAGGGCATACCCATTTAGAGTCCCACTGACAGCTTGTGAAAGTTTATGATGCTGTGTTAATGATGTTTGGTATAAATAGAAAGAGACACTATTCTAGAGAATCAAGCTAGCTCTACTTTTTTGTCAAACACCTGCACATTACTATGGAACTTATCTTTTACTTGGGATATAATAGACTATCACAGTCAAAGCATGAGCGATCCTCTCAACTAGAGGAGCTCTGTGTGTGAACTAAACGTTTTTCCCTTTCTCAGATTGAAACTCCCATGATGAACATCATCCCAGGGGGAGCTGTGGCCAAGCCTTTTATCACCTACCACAATGAACTGGACATGAATTTATATATGAGAATTGCTCCGGAACTCTACCATAAGGTAATCAATAAAAGATGCCCTGTGTCCTTAGAGAAGCAGAAGGCTGAAAGACACTGGCTAGACAGGTACGGTCAGAAATAAGAGGAACAGTGAGGGTAGAACAACAAAAGTGTTCTAAGTGTCAGGTTTGTGAGCGTTACATTTCTGGAATTTATCTGTAGGGTCAGTAGAGCCTTCTCCAGGGCAAAGGGAGTGTCTTTCCTAGATGGACACATCTTCCTAACCTACTTTGTTTCCCATAATGCTTTTTTAAGTTTGTAATTCTTACATTAAAGCTGATTTTAGTCCTTTGTTGAAGAATGAGTTGAATTTCTGCTTGAAAGTTGGAAATATCCTCAAATCACTAGAATAAACATCAAAGACTATGTCATTAGTTGCAAACAACAAAAACTGTTATAGTGTTTAAGTAGAAGAACAATGTATCCAAATACACAAGGATGCTCACAATTTCTAGGAGGATCAGAGGATCGGGCTTGGAGACCACCCAATTAGGAATGGTTCTGAGTCATATCAAAGGGCTGTCCTCGTGAAGAACCCAGTATCTTCCATTTGGGAACTTACCACAGCTCATAAGCATGGTGCGAGGCACACGTCATTGCCCTTAGGACCTCTACAGTTACTACCTTTATAAGCCAGATACCTCTGGCCCCCTTCACCAGAGGAGATTCTGTACTATATCTGCATCCTCTTTGCACGTGGAAGTCTCACAGATGGGTCTGACTGGGGAGCTTGGGTCATGTGCCTGCACCCTGACCCCCAAGAGGCTTCTTGTAGAAGCTCACACAAGATGGGGGACACCCCAGACAAAGGAAGAGTGAGAATTCAGTGTTCCTGGGCAGCCAGAATGAATTGTAATTATCCACAAAGACCTGAAGAGAGTAGGGCACTCAGCATCTGGGTAGAGACCTGAAAGCATGGCTTGAGCTGTGAAAACCAAGTTACAGCTCTTGTAGACAGAAACTTTACCCGGCCAGACAAGATTAGCTGCTGTGACCACGACCATGGCCATGTGTTATTAGATGCTGGTGGTTGGTGGCTTCGACCGGGTGTATGAAATTGGACGCCAGTTCCGGAATGAAGGAATTGATTTGACTCACAATCCTGAGTTCACCACCTGTGAATTCTACATGGCCTATGCCGACTATCATGATCTCATGGAAATCACAGAGAAGATGATTTCAGGTGACCCCCTCCTGCTCCCTTTGTCTTTCCCACGTGTCTGGAGGACTGGTGTGCTGCCTTCAATTAGACTTCCTGTTAGTCCTCTTTAAATGACACATTTCTTTCCCAGGGATGGTGAAACATATTACAGGCAGTTACAAGGTCACCTACCATCCAGATGGCCCAGAAGGCCAAGCCTATGAGATTGACTTCACCCCGCCCTTCCGGAAAATCAGCATGGTAGAAGAGCTTGAGAAAGCCCTGGGCATGAAACTGCCAGAAACGAACCTTTTCGAAACTGAAGGTAAAGTGATGCGCTCCTCTAGTTGTAGGGCCTTCCTTCCTGTTCAGCTGTGAATTAGATTAGGTCAGGAGTACAGTTCCCCACGCAATTCTTCTTATACTGGGGTGGTATTGTGATGGTGTGATGTCTTCTGTCCCAACTTGTTTGTTTGTATTACAGAAACTCGCAGAATCCTTGATAATATCTGTGTGGCAAAAGATGTCGAGTGTCCTCCACCCCGGACCACTGCCAGGCTCCTTGATAAGGTGAGAGGCCCGGGCACTGGTCGTAGATGCCCGCACCCACTGGTAATGCCCCCTGCTCCCTGTGAAGGGGAACTCCGCCGTAGAGCATTAACTTCCCCAGCTTCACAGGAAAGCTCTAAAGAGAGAAACGAGAGAACAAGTTTTAAATTCCTGCTTACTAAGCTCTCTGCCAAATAGTTACATTTGTTACCCTAGTTAATCCTTACCAACCTTTCAGCAACTTAAGATAAACCTCTGTAGCGTCAGGTGTGGATAGGAGCGGAGTCTCTGCCACCAGGCCTGAGCCAATCAGAATGGCATTTAGAAGGGCTCTAGCTGTGCTCTGCTTTCTCCTTCAGCTTGTCGGGGAGTTCCTGGAGGTGGCGTGCATCAATCCTACCTTCATCTGTGATCACCCACAGATAATGAGCCCTCTGGCCAAATGGTAAGACAGAGTGCGGTGTCTCAGTTACCTGTTGCTGCATGATAATCTCAGAACTTAGCGACATAGAGCAGTTTATTCTCAAGAGTGTGTGAGCTCACAGGGTTGTCGTTCTGCCCTGTGTGGTGTTGGTGAGGGTAACTCAAGTGACTTTTTTCATCTGGGAACTCGGTCAGCGTGCCTTGCATCCCCCCATGGGGGATTCTCCTACTCCAGAGCCTCTTCTCTGGCAGCGGAGCCAGGGCTCCAAGTGGAATCATTCTGAAAGAATAAATCTTGGTGTGCACGCACAGACCAAGCCTCTGCCGATGTCCCACCGGCCAGAGCAAGTCACCCAGGCAGCCCGGAGTCAGCGTGGCAGGGCATGAATACGGCGGGTTTGGTTCGGGGTCCCAGTCTACTGCATAGGTCTGTTGTAAGATGATTCAAGCTTTCTTGTCTCTGACCGTCCTCGGTATTGTAGTAAATGATTCAGTGCTGAGGGTGCATACAGGCTTCGGGTCACAGTCAATAACAGTTTTGAGTCAACCAGGTTTCAGGAGTTCTTGTGCTTGTACCACATGTTCTGTTTATTCAACTTCCCCGGTGGTCTCCTCCCCAGGCACCGCTCTAAAAAGGGTCTGACGGAGCGCTTTGAGCTGTTTGTCATGAAGAAGGAAATATGCAATGCCTACACTGAGCTGAACGACCCTGTGCGACAGCGGGAGCTCTTTGAAGAACAGGCCAAGGTAAGGAGGGAGTGTGTGCCTGCTCACCCTGGTCTGTGTCTGGCCTGCAACTCCTGCTGACCGGAACAGAAATGAAGGCTGAGAGCCACAGGCCTCACAGGAGGAAGTCACATTTCAAGATGGAGAACTTGACCAGTTTTGGCCCTAGAATTTCTATATAAATGGAGCTCAGGTGTGCTATCTGTGGGGGGCATGTGACACTCGTGTTGACGAGGACGTTACCTTTTCTTAGATGGTATGTTTATTGAGGTGGCCTGGGGATGAGAAGACAAAGCAGCCATGAGCCGCCCGCACGAGCGCTGCCACGATGGGTGGTTCAGGAAGTGGGAGGGACACTGTGGGAATCATCAGTCTCTGAAAATCAACTGCACTGGACTCTCAGAGCCCCAGGCAGTGGAGGGATTTCCACTTGGCAGAGAAGCTCGCATATGTTTTGGGGTAGGGTTCATCAGTCCTGACCTTCAGGTCTTCGAAAGAAATGGCTCCATCCTGGAGTTCCTGGGAAGCCAGTTTCCAGCAAGTACTAGGTGTCCAGAGCAGTGCTGGGATGGAAGTGCCTCTGATGGTTTTCACATGCTCACTCAGACGCCAGAGCGTGCAGCCTGGAAGAGTGTCACTGTGCGTGTGGTTCTGTCCTCTAGGCCAAGGCCGCTGGTGACGATGAGGCCATGTTCATAGATGAAACCTTTTGCACCGCCCTGGAGTACGGGCTGCCCCCCACAGGTGGCTGGGGCATGGGCATCGACCGCGTCGCGATGTTTCTCACAGACTCCAATAACATCAAGGTATGCGGCAGCCCTGAAGGAGCACCAGGAAAGGGCGCTGGGCTGGGAGGAGGGGCAGGCGGAGAGGTTACCTGTGACTTCACAAGAACACAGTCAGGACATCTGATTGCACAGAATTTGGGGGTTTCTACCCAAGGCAGAAGAAATACCAATTGTTTGCATTTCTGAAGGATCCAAGGAACATACTGAGCCATCTACATGTATTACCTCATTTAACTTAAGTCAACCTGTGACCTGTAGAAACTATTGTTATCCCCACATTTACAGATGAAATCATTTGGAGAGAACCTCTCTGTTTATTCTTTCTTTTGATATCGTGATCTAGGCAGTGCTGTGCATTTTAATATTTATTTGGCTCTGGGTCTTAGTTGCAGCATGCGAGATCCTTTAGTTGTGCGTTTCTTCTTTTCCATTGTTTGTAACTAAGACGAACTAAATTGAAATGAAACAACACAGATCTCCGGGTTTTGGTGATAGCAGTAACCAAGAGGGGGAAAGGAGTGGGTGGATAGGCAGGGAAAAGTGCTTCTTAGCTTCAGAATCCATTCTCTGTCCTGTAGGAAGTGCTTCTGTTTCCTGCCATGAAACCTGAAGACAAGAAGGAGAATGTAGCCACCACGGATGGCCTGGAAAGCATAGCACCCGGCACTTCTGTCTAGAAAACAGTAGTGACGAGTCGTGTGACGGCTGATTGCATTTCTGTAACCAGGGACTGCAAGGGAATTCCTGTGTGTGTTGCTGTCTGTTTGACTATCACATTTCACTTCAGCCGCCAAAAACGAGAAGAGGAATCAAGAATTCCTTTTTACTCCTTGTTATCAAATAAACCATTTGTCTCTACTCCTGTCTCATCGCTCTTTTTACTTTTGAAATGTCATCTTATTTCCCAGACAGCTGACCTAATGAATGTTTAGGATTATACCACTTTACTCATTCAACAAATTTCTCTAGGTGACATCGAAGTAGAGATCTAGAAACAGAGATCTGAGTGGAAAAGCATAGTCCAGACCAGAGGGCTGCATTTTTGAGGAACTCCAGAGGGGTCTGGTATGACCAGTAAGGAGCAAGTAAAGCTCAGTGAGGGGCCAAACCATGCAGGCACCTGTAAGCCATGCAGAGGAGTATGTGTTTTATCATGGCGAAATGAGAAGCCATTGGACAGTTATGAGCAGTGTTTTTCAAAGACTGTTCTAGTTAGTATGTGGATGGCAAGAGTGGAAGAGAGTTAACTTTGCATTTGCAGGCTGAGGAGACATGATGGCTTAGCTTTGGATGCTATAAAATGACGGTGATGGTTATGAGTCATTGGAGTTTGCTTGTGTTCCTGAGGTCAGAATCTGTTGGCAAAGTGAGCTGTGAGAACAGGAATCATAATTTCAAGGTTTTAGGCCTAACCACCTGGAAAGCAGAGTTGTCATTGACTTGAGATGGAAAAAATGTGAAGGGCAGGTTTGAGGAAGGAAGGTTGAGTGTGGTTTTGGACATATTAAACATGTTTGTTAGATGTTGGGTGAAAAGAATGAGTAGGATGTTGAATAGTGAATCTGGTGTGTTCATATTTTCAATTCAGTGAAAAAGAACTGGAGCTGGGCAGAAAAATGTAAAAAATGTCCAAGATTATCACAGCAATCCAAGAGGAAGACAACAGCAGTTTGTCCAAAGGACTAGAGTTTTGCCATAAAAGTAGAACTGGGTGAATTCAAGAGAGAGATCAACAGGACTTGGTAACAGATTATATATTGGATTATAATACGGGGGTGAAGGGAAAGAAAATGACAAGGTGATTCACTTTTCAATTTATGCAACTAGATGAACGGCAGTACTAATCCTTGAGATATACCTGGAAGATGATTACCCCACGAGAAATCTTTAAAAAAAAAACAAAAGAGTCACAGATAAAACACGTTAGAGAGAGGAACAGGATACTTACCTTTGGAGGAGTAAGGAATTTACCCTTCCTCTGATCTAGAAAGAAAGATGGGGATCAATTAAGCTGCACTTCTCTAGCTTTGGAGAGATAATATGAAAAGTTCTCTCTCATCTTTAGGAATTGAGGTATACAACTGCCAAATGGTACAGACTCCTGAACTACAATCTGAAGGTTTTAGACCTGAACTGTTAATAAATAAGCCAAGAGCCACATGTGGCTATTGCACATTTGAAATGTGGCTGGTGAGAACTGAGAGGTACTGTGAGTGTAATATACAAACCAGACTTCTGAAACTTAGTTAGAAAAAATATAAAATACCTCAATATCTTTTTTTAAAAATTGATTACACGTTGAAATATGTTGTATATGTTCGGTTAAATAAAACAGTTTAAGTTCATCTTTTGAGTTTTTAAAATATATAAAGTTTTAAGTTACATATCTGGCTCGAATTATATTTCTACTGGATAGCAGTGTTTTAAACAAAAATTTACCCTAGTGTCCCAAGATACAACATCATTCTACTCTTGGAATCTATTCTCTCGCACACCATCAGCTTCCCGAGCCCCTTTGACTGATACGCACAGCGCCGGAAGTCGGGTCTGACCCTCCCACCTGGCTCCGCCCCCTAAGCGACTACAAAGGCCAGCGTGCAGTGTGTGTCGCCTCTTAGTGACGTCACGTCCGCTGCGCCGCACACGCTCTGTCAGCTCCTTTCGGCGTGCGTCGTAGAGATGGGAGGGGAGGGTCTCTGAGAGGGTGGGGTCGCGGAGCCGAGGGCGAGCCAGTGAGCGGGGTCTTCGCGGCTTCTGGGTCAGGTTCCAGTGTCTGACTTTTCCAAACTCCGTCTGTGTGGGGAGAGGACGTGAGATCAGTACCTCTCCCACCACGCGTGGGGCGGTAAAAGACGGCTCCTTTAATGGAAATACTGCCCTCCCGGCGCGGAGAACACCCGCTGCGGGCGAGCGCGGGACGCGTGGCCGTGCTGCAGCGTCCTACAAAACCCAAGAGGGCAGGCACCGACCTAGTCCCGGCTGCAGGGGCCCCGAGTCTCCTGTTGACTGGGCACATTGGCCCTACCCGGACCTCTTGAGGGTGTTGAGCCGGGGCCTGAGGGAAGTAGGCTTCCCTTCCAACCCTTCGAAAAGGGCTTTTCGCCCCTGGCCCTAACTTTCTTTGAAAAGGAAGTGGGCTCTTCAGCTTTTTGCAACTGTTAAAACATGCGATCTTATGGGCAAAGAACTGTCTAACAACTGATCTTTTGTTTCATATAAAAAATTATTCACGTTCTAGGAGAGAGTGGATTTGAATTTTAGTGGACTCAGTGTAGCAAAACTTATTCAGCTACTGGGCACGCTCATCCCGACAGCTCCGAGAATGTGACGATACAGTTCTGGGCTGCTGCTTCATAGAGAGCGCTTCTTCTGGCAAGTTCTGTCTTCCTTGGCTATTATGGTTTGTGTACCTATGATTTAATTTCAGGTGGGTACCAGAGTATCTGCCTTCATAAAGTATACTGCCTTCTGATGCTCCCCACCCCCTCGTAATGAGAGAGAAATCTCTTCCAAATGGAGGATTCAAGGCTTACCCATGCTTTTCTTTTGCTCCAAGAGATAGAGGATTTTTACTGCGAGAGCTCCCTGGCGGTCTAGAGGTTAGGATCCGCTTTCTTCCTGTAATGGTCCTGTTTCAATCCCTACTTAGGAAACTTGTGGTTGTGGTTTAGTAACTAAGTCGTGTCCGAATCCCTGCGACCCCATGGACTGTAGATCTCCAGGCTCCTCTGTCCGTGGGATTTTCCAAGCAAGAATACTGGAGTCGGTTTGAGCTAAGACCCCGCGAACCAGCCTGTGGGGCAAAGAAAAAAGAAACTTATGCTTGTTCTCTGACTTATAAATCACAATTTATGTCAGTTCCAGTCAGATTCTTAATTTAAATCACTATGATCTGATGTACTATGGTCATTCAGTTAAATGATAAACTGAAGCATATTAGAATTTTAAAAGTTTGATCAAAAACCAATTCCAATCGGGCAGCACCAAAGCAGAAGTAGTTAGGAGCCCTTTGCAGCAGGAGGCAGGGTAGACTGTTGTAGAAAAAGTGCAGAAACAAAAGAAGAAATCATTTAATTGGCTGCAGCTGGAAGCCTAGCTGAGGGCTGTTGGTTGTTTGTCCTTAGCAGTTTTGATATTGTAACCTTAAGGTATTTACACACTTAGATCTTCGTTTGCTTAAATAGGCCAACGCAGCATTACAGGTTCATCCATCTAATCGTCTCCTTGTTTTATTAATTTAACAGTGCAAACAGCTTATTGTGGAAAAATCAGTTGTCTGCTATATGCCTTGAGGCTCAGTGGAGCCTTTTTTTTTGTTTGGTGACACATTTGGCTTTGCCCATCACCTTATGATCTTATTTTTTCCTGAGAAGCTTTTCATACATTTCAGTGACCAAATGAGGTCACTGAGTGAGCACTGATAGAGTTAACAATGAGAAGAGTGTCAAGGGAAGTATTCTAGGCCTCTTTTAGGTCTGCTTCATGGTCTCTTATTCATGGCTTTACGTATCCATCACAGATCCACTATCTGCCAAGGAGCTCAAAGCAAATGAATAAGGAAATTCAAATGTTCTTATTTGTAGTATCAATCTCAATTGATGTAATTATGCTCAACACTGTGCCAACTTTTTTTAGTATTAAGCCTCACAGCAACTCCAGTGGATTAAATACTATTGTCTCTTTTATCAGATGACACAGAAAGGTTAAGTAATCTACCCTGTATCTCAGTTAATTTGTAGCAAAGCCAGGATTAGAATCCAGAAAGGGTAACTCCAAAGCCCTCATTCTGAGAAATAGAACTGCTGTCTCACTTGAGTGGTGAGAAACACTGGGCTCTGTCACTGCCCTCAGCATCATAAAAGGTTGAGGAAGAGATTAAAATGTTGCTTTCCTGATGGGGGCGGAGGTTTACTAGAGAGAAGATAAAGAACCTCTTTGCTGTGAGGAAAAGAAAAGTAAAATGTCTGGGGAAAAAAAGAAAAGAAAACCTTTATCCCCAGAAAGATAAAGTTTGTCTGGTGTGGGTCTGTCTGAAGCAAGCTGAGGTCTGCAGCCCTTTATGTGCTATTTCCAAATGAAAAGTGGAATACCGACAATCTTTCCTCATATGCTTTCATTTTGAGTATTGGACTCGGATTCATTAGAAACATGTCATATATCCAACATGAGGTAAAAAACAGCTTGAAGAAGTAATGTATGTTCTAGGGCTGTGAGATTTGAGGCTGTTGATCTTTCATTAATGATGAAAGCAGAGGGGTAGTCAGAGAAGATGATACACAGAGTTACAATCGGGGAAGCCTCACTAGGAACATGAAGGGGCTACATGTGAACGCCTGCTGCAGCGGGGTGTGGGTTGTAGCATCTTGCCTTTGCTCTCCTTTCTGTCCTGACAGGTGTGGATTTTGATCAGGGCCTGAGCACCATGTGGACCGCGGATGAGATTGCCCGGCTGTGTTACGAGCACTATGGAAACAGGCTGCCTAAGCAAGGGAAGCCTGAGCCCAACCGCGAGTGGACGTTGCTCGCAGCCGTGGTGAAGATACAACCCACAGCTGGCCAGGCCTGCGACCGCTCTGACGGACCAGTGCAAGGTGAGACCTTTTCTCCCTGAAACACTCTCTCCCAGTAAGAGACACAGGGCTAGCCAGGGATGGTGGTTGTTGGGTATGATCCGAGATGCTGGGCACGTTCTGCTGCTGCTGGCCGGGTGCTGCGGGACCTCTGGTGGCGGGAGATGGCTGTGCAGAAACCACAGTCGTCAGCTGAGGCAGCCTGTGAGGGAGCCCTCTGGACGAATGTGCAGGGAGGGTATTAAACTTGCCGACCATTCAGATTCTGAGAATTCATTTTATGATTTGCTTTTTCTCCCCCCTCAGTGACAAAGGAAGTTGTCTCAATGGGAACAGGAACTAAATGCATAGGCCAGTCCAAAATGAGGAAGAGCGGTAAGCCTGGGTGGGGTCTAAACACGGGCTGTTAGGGAGTTTTAGAAAACTGGTGTCGGTGTCACCTGTTTCTCTTCCCGGCAGAGCAAAGGGGCGTATCACTAGGTGGCTGACCTTTCACTTCCTGCTGACTGTCGCTCCAGTTGGAAGGACAGAACTCATTTAAAGAATGGAAATGAGTTTCAGAAGCAAAGGCTACCGGGAACATCTTTCTGAGTGGATTGAAAGTTGGCCAGTTACTTTCATGCTCAAACCAAAAGGTCCCTGGGTTTAGCTTTCCATAGTACATCTGAAGCCCCAGAAAGCAATTGTGAATCAAATGGAGATTTTGGCACAAGAAAGAGTAAGAAAATCCCTTAGAGGTCTGGCATCTTCACTTTCTGGATGCCAGTTAACAGGTTCCTCTTCCAGTTTGCTTCTCTCATCTCCTAGTTTTCCCTGGGATATGAGGTTGCTGTTCCAGGACCACTATTGATTGAATTCAACGGAATTGTATCACCATGGGCACAAGTATGGCACCAGGGTACAAAAGATCTGGACCTCTGTCCTCCTGATAAAGATCTCCCTATAAATCAGGAGTTCTCAGTTAGGGGAGATTTGCCCTCCAGAGACATTTGGCAGTGTCTGGAGACATTTTTGACTGTCAAAACTGGGAGAAGGGGAATATGCTAGTGGTCTCTAGTGAATGGAGTCCAGGAATGCTGCCAAACATCCTGCAGTGCACAGAACAGACACCCCCCCCCCACACACACACACACACAGCATTTTCCAACCCGAAATGTCAGGAGTTGAGGAAACCCTGCTGTAAATGCTGTGCCAGTAATGATTGTACTGCTTTCTGGCAAAGCCCTCCAGGAGTTATGTGACCAGTCTGGGTGCTGGGGAAAACTGCCATGTTCTGCTTTCAGGAACCAGGTTCCATATGTTTTCACTAGTGTCTTATCTTTGCCACAGGTGACATCCTCAATGATAGCCATGCTGAGGTCATAGCCAGAAGGAGCTTCCAAAGGTAAAGCCACATCGCCAGAGAGCTTGATCTAGCATGGGTGGGGGTCCCAGAATTTGCATTTCTAATAAGCCCCCAGTTCAGTTCAGTTCAGTCGCTCAGTCGTGTCCGACTCTTTGCGACCCCATGAAGCGCAGCACGCCAGGCCTCCCTGTCCATCANTGAGGTGATGGGACCAGATGCCATGATCTTAGTTTTCTGAATGTTAAGCTTTAAGCAAACCTTTTCACTCTCCTCTTTCACTTTCATCAAAAAGCTTTTTAGTTCCTCTTCACTTTCTGCCATAAGGGCCCCAGGTAATACTAATTATGTCAGCCTCTGAACTGTACTTAAAATACAGTTGGTCTGGTCTAGACAGGGGTTCTTATGCTTGATTGTGCTTCTGAATCACCTGGAGGGTTTGTTAAACCTCAGATAGCTGGGCCCATCCCTAGGGGTTCTGATTCAGCAGATCCAGGTGGAGCTTGAAAAGTTGCGTTTCCATTTTTTTTAATGTTTATTTGCCGTCTCGGGTCTTAGCTGCAACCTGGGGCATCTGTGTTGTGTCATGCAGGATCTTTCCCACGTGGCACGTGGACTCCAGCTGCAGCACATGGGCTCCAGTAGTTGCGCCCTGGGGGCTTAGTTGCTCCACAGCACATGGAGTCTTAGTTCCCCGACTAGGGATCAAACCCTAGTCCCTTGCATTGCAAGGCAGACTCTTAACCACTGGATCACCAGGGAAGTCCCAGAAGGTACATTTCTAATAAATTCCAGCTGGTGCTACTGGTTCCTGGACCCCATTTTGAGAATCACTAGATCCTTCTTATAATTCCAGGTCGCTACCAGTTTCATTGGTCTCCAGTATCTCTTTCCTTCTTAGTAATCACCCAACTAGTCTCTCCCTTGACCACAGAGATGGGTTGTTCGCTCTGGTAACCCCCCTCCCTCCACGTCCCATTAGGTACCTGCTCCATCAGCTCCACTTGGCAGCTGCCCTGAAGGAGGATAGCATCTTTCTCCCGGGATCTCAGAGAGGACTGTGGAAACTCAGACCAGACCTCCTGTTTGTGTTTTTCTCCAGCCATACACCCTGTAAGTATATTCAAGCCTCTGGATTCATGTTACATTCATCTTTACTTCCTTATTGTTGTCTTATCCATGTGTATGTTTCTCAAAAAAAAAAAAAAACTCTTTAGCGAACATGTAGTTACAGCCAGTGACAGTGTCTTTTTGTGAACAACCCAGTGTGCCTGATCACTTCTCCACCAAGGAAAGTGGAGGGAGCGTCACCCTACTGTTATTCAGTTCTCAGTTCCCAGTCAGGGTGAGGAAGCTTAAAGGTCCAAAACCGGCAATAGGGCTTAGAAGTCCAAAGCCTGAGTTCTGTGGTGATTTATCCTGACATTCATTTCATTCATTCATTAAACACATCAGTTCAGTCGCTTAGTCATGTCCAACCCTTTGCAACCCCATGGACTGCAGCACGCCAGGCCTCCCTGTCCATCACCAACTCCCAGAGCTTACTCAAGCTCATGTCCACTGAGTTGGTGATGCTATCCAACCATCTCATCCTCTGTCATCCCCTTCTCCTATTGCCCTCAATCCTTCCCAGCATCAGGGTCTTTTCCAATGAGTCAGCTCTTCACATCAGGTGGCCAAAGTATTGGAGTTTCAGCTTCAACATCAGTCCTTCCAATGAACACCCAGGACTGATCTCCTTTAGGATGGACTG